ATGCTTTCTCAGGCATGTTAGCAGGGAGCTGGATTGGAAGTGGAGCAGCCAGGTAAGAATCAGCACTCTTAGGATGCCAGGTGGCAGCTTACCCCACTATGCCACAATGTCAGCATCATCCAGTGTGTTCTTAGAAATAATGGAGAAATTTTAAGAATTTGTAAAATATTTGTAAGATGAATTGGTTTTAATGATACCAATAATAAACAACAACTGCCAGGCACTCTTTTAAGTATTTTACACATATTGATTCATTTAATCCTCACAAAAAGCTTATAAGGCAGGTATGGTTATCATCCTCATTTAAAGGTGAAAAAACTACCCAGGTCATACCTGTAGGTGGAAGATCCTGGTGCTCGAATTTGATCCTAATGGTCTGAACTGGCTCCAGAGTTCATGCTTTGAACCACTGAAATAAATATCTAACATCATCATAATAAAGCAGCAATTAGATAGCATGTATTGAGCACCTGTGTCCTAGGTGCTTCACATATGTTATCTCATTTAATTCCACAACACTCTGAGGAGGTACTATTATCCTCCTCCTCAGATGAGAAAACTAAAACACAGAAAGTTATATTACCTTTTCCATGGTTACAAGCTAATGGAGTCTGTACAAGCCCTGGTAGGAGAATTACCACTCATGGCCCTTGGGTTCTGCCTCAAAGGCATGAAATCTCCAGCAGGTTTGTTGTTCAGTTGTTGATGGATATTTGTATCATTTCTAACCTTTACCTCTTACAAACAGTGCACACAAACAGGAGAGGAATGTATTGTGTCTAGAGTTTTTGAAAATGGCTATCTGTTGTTTAATTAAGTTACATTAAATTGTGTTCTAAGATGCTTGTACAAATGAACACCCCCCCTAGGAATCCAAAAGATTTCCTGTTTTTCTACATCCTCAATAAAACATGCTGCCTTCACACTTTAAAACTGGTGGCAGTCTGGTGGCTGCTTAACATTATTTCACTGTGATTATCCACAAAGTTCATCATGCTTTCATATTTCATTGATCACACTTTTATAGTCTTAAAAATTAGTTGTTCAAGTATGTCTATTGGGTTATCTGCCATTTATTTCTGATTAAGTAGGGATATTTTACATTCTGGGAGATAGTCCTTTGATGCTTCTGGGTGTTGCAATTATCTTCTCCCACTTTATGATTTATCTGTTGTCTACCTTGGTGAATACATTGTTTCAATATCCCATGCCCCTATTTAACTCTTTCCACATTCTCTTTCTATGTTTTAGATTTAGAACAGTATGTTAAAATCTCCTTTGATTAGTGTGTTACTATTTATCCTTGTATCTTCTGTGCTTTCTTAGGTACGTTTATCTGTATTATTTAGCCTAAAGTTGTTTTTGTGTGAATATTACTGCATTTGCATTACGAAGTGTCCTTCTTTGGCTCCTTTAGTGCTATAATTTTTGGCCTCAATTCTTCCTAATGCATATCAAGACACCCAAGTTTCGTTTTCCTTGTTTAGTTGGTGTAGCTCCATTCATCAACTTACTCCTTTTTGTCAGCTTTTCTGAATCATTTCATTTTAGGAATGTATTTTATGTACAGCCTAAAGTCAGGTTTTGCTTTGTGACCCAGTTGAAAAATATTTTTTATTGAAGAGATGTATGTTTCCATTTACATTATTGATGGGACTGATATGTTTGGTCATAGATTTGTCATTTTATTTGTTGTTATAGTTACTGTGTATCTTTTACTATGCTTTTTTTCTATCTGCTATTTAGGAAGTTTTGTATCTTTATTGTAGTGTTTACTTTTCTAATAATACATTTGTGCCAGTGTTCTTGGTCTTTTGTTTTCTTTTTTTAAAAATTATGCTTTGGAGAGGCCAGTGTTGTGGTAAAGCGGGTTAATCTGCCTTCTGCAACATGAGTATCCCATATGGGTGCTAGTTCATGTCCCGGCTGTTCCACTTTCCACCCAACTCCCTTCTAATGAACCTAGGAAAGCAGCAGAGGATGACCCAAGGGGCCCTTGTACTCATGTGGGAGACCCAAATGAATCTCCTGGCTCCCCGCTTCAGCCTGTCCTAGCTGTGGCTGTTGCGACCATCTGTGGAGTGAACCTGAAAGATCTCTCTCTCTCTCTCTCTCTCTCTCTCTCTGTGTAACTCTGCCTTTCAAATAAATAAGTAAATTTTTATAATGAGCAGTTTGCAAAATAAATTAAGAAAATAATTCAAGGAGTATCAAAAGGAGAAAAGTATCAAAAGTGTTTGACTAAATATATTTAAAAATTATGCTTTGGTTTTGATTTGTTCTATTGAAAATTGTGCTCTGTCTTCTATATCTTATATTTAGGGCAACCAAAATTTTTCCATCGTGTCTTGGTTGAACTACAACTTGTAGTAGGAAAAGTTCCTGAGTACATTATTGCTTTAGTTCCAGCACATTTAAAACTCCCTGGAGCAGGAATGAGCAAACTAAGGCATACAGCCTCTTTAATAAGGCTTGCTAGCTAAGAGTGTTTTTACATTTTTAGAGAATGATGACAAAGATAAAAGGAAGACTGTATGGCTGAGGCTATATGTGGCCTGTGCATATTTATTTACTCTCTGGCCCTTTATAGAGGATTGCTGATCCCTTCTCTTGAACCTTGATAATTAAGGGATAATTTGATTGACTGTAAAATCCTTTGCTCAATTCCCTTGAGTCTCCTTAAAATGTCGCTCTATGATTTCTTGATTTATATATTATTATTTAGAAGTGTGATACCAACCTGATTTCTTTTTCTTTGTAAACTGATTTGGGTATTTTTTGGCCTGGAAATCCAGAGGATTTCTTCACTATATTTACCTGGCTATCTCTCAGTTGAGAATTCTAGGTTTGTTTTTTTTTTTTTCTAGGTACATAGTGGGCCTTTTTCAGTATAAAATTCAGGGCTTATTTTCATTCTTCCTTCTTTCTCTCTCTCTTTATTTCTCTCTCTCTCTCTCTCTCATTTTAAAGTTATTTATTTTGAAAGTTAGAGTTGCAGAGAGAAAGAGAGAGAGATCTTCACCTACTGGTTCCCTCCCCAAATGGCTGCAATGACCAGCACTGGGTCAGGCCTGAGCCAGGAGCTTCATCCAGGTATCTCATATGAGCAGGGGTGCATTATATAATGTGCAAGTTATAATGGAATGGAGAGTCTGCTTTCCACAGGCCATTAGGAAGCTGAGTGGGAAGTGGAGCAGCCAGAATAAGGCAAGCGCCTATATGGGATGCCAGCTTTACCTGCTACGCCACAGCTCCAACCCTAAGATTTACTTTATTTCAATAATGTTTTTAAAATTATAACTTTAAATAGATCTATCTTTTTACAAGGACCACAATTTATCTTAGATCTTCTTTGCCTTTTGTATCATGTTCTTTCTGCACCATTTTATTATTTTCTTTATGTTTCCTTTTCTTGGCTCCTTTTATTTCTCCTCTTGTTATCTTTACTGTATTTTTGGTCATGTCTGTTCCCTCTTGGATACCTGTGAATTTACTCAATTTTGAGACAATTTTGATTTTTTCTTAATTTCTTTCTTGTATTTGGCCAACTTAGATTTCACATCTTCCACTTGTTTTTCCATTCTTTTTTGAGTATCTATTTCTTTATTTAATTGAAAGAATTACAGAGAGAAAGATAAAGAAAGAAAAACAAGTCTTCCATCTGCTGGCTCACTCCCCAGATGACTGCAACATCAGGGGTTAGGCCTGGCAGGAGCCAGAAGCTTCTTCCAAGTCTCCCAAGTGGGTGCAGGGGCCCAAGCACTTGGGATATCCTTTGCTGCTTTTCTAGGCATATTAGCAGGGAGCTGGACTGGAGGTGAAGTAGCCAGGACTCAAACCGGCACCCATATGGGATACTGGCATCACAGGCGGTGGCTTAATCCACTACACCACAATGCTGGCCTCTGTTTTACATTTTCATTCAAGCTTTTAAATGTCTATTTTATGGTGTTTGATAATATCTACAAATGCTTGCATAATTATATTTAATCTATTTTTGGATCATTGTTAAGTTCTCTGCTTCATAATTCTGTTTTGTCTTGTTTTCAGCTCTCAGAGTTGAGATTTTATTCATAAATAACTGTGTGGATGCTTGATTATTTTATAGACTTTGTGTTTACTTATTTTTGTTGTTGAGAAATATGGAGTGTTTTGGTGTTTCTTAGAGCAGGAGCACCCTCTTCTGTTGCTGTAGTGAAATGCAGTTTCCCTCCTTCCCTCCCTCCCTCCCTTCCTTTATCCCTCACTCCCTTCCTGTCTCCCTCCCTTCTTTTTTTCCCCCTTGCTTCCTCACGTCCCTCCCACAATCCAGTTCTCCCAGGGTCCCTGCTCTGCTCTCCATTCCAGTATCCTGCTAATGCACACTCTGGGAGGCAGCAGGTGATAAAACAGGTAGTTGAGTCCCTGGCATCCACTTGGGGACCTGGATTGAGTTCCTGGTAATTTGCCAGCACTTGGGAAATGAACCAGGAGATAGATGTCTCTCTCTCTTTGTCCCTCTCTCTATCTCTCTCTCTGCCTCTCTGTCTTTCAAATGGACAAAATATGTAAATTAGAGAAAATATTTGTTAAATAATAAAAACACAAAAATTAGAAAAGATTAAGGCAATATAAACACAAACACAGGTAAGATAATATATGAGAATAAAATGTAAAACTGCTAGAATTTTGAAAGTGATAAAATAATCAGTTTTCTAAACAACTGTAAGTTATCACAATTGACTAAACATGAAAAAAATCAGTAGTTACCCTAGAAAACTTTGAAAAGTTATAACAAGTGACTGAGACCAGAAATCTTGTCAGGAAATTATGTTTGAAAAGAAAATAATATAATGTCCAAGTTACGGTGGAGTGGAGGGTCTGGAGCATGAGAGAGAATCTGTAGCTATGAATACAGAATTGGGAGTTCATCTCCCTATAAGTAAAATAATGCATTGTTCATATGTATCATCAAATACAGAGAGGTGAAAAAAAGACGTGATTTTCATGTTTTCTTACAGACAGGTGAAAAAGAGTGTATCACCCTACCAGATCTTACTGATTTTCCTTCACTTCCTTGTCATCCTGTTCTTTCTTCAGAAATAACTGATCCCTCTTTTTTACAGATTGAGAGTAAGTATTGTCACACTTTAAGTACAGATGATTCTGTGAAGTAAAGTATGTTACTGGATAGTCATTATTTTATACATACAGAGTTTCAGGATGGGAAGATTAAAAAGTTCTGGAGATATATGGTGGTGATGATTGTGCAGCAGTGTGAATGTACTTAATGTCACTGAATTGTACACTTACAATGTTAAAATTTATTATAGGCAAGCGGTATTCAAAAAGTTCATGAGAGGTAGTATTGTACAAAAACTGCATGGTTTAAAAAAAATTTCTGGTACTAAAATGAATTTATCTTTAATTCCATTTCAACAAACTTTTTAAAGTACACGCATATCTTTTACTGTATTGAAAACTGATATTAATTTTATGTTGACTGCTGCATTGTGTAGTCACTAATATTTCATTTTAAAAATATACCCTAATTTTCCATGGAAAATGTAAGTTCAGCAACTTTGGATCCAAGATAAATTTGCCAAAATAATTAAACCAAAAAAGCATAAGCATAACTATCTGAGCTTTACCTAGTTTCTAATCATATATGTAAATGCAAAAAATGTACTATTTTATAAATCTCCTGTGTATCACTCTTTGAAGCTGAAATTACTCCTCTACATTTTCCATATTGGTAAATGCAGCAAGAAAAATACGAGTTTGGGGCAAATTTTATTTTTGTTCTTTTAGACACTTAAGTTTTACACTCCATCTTTTAAAATATGAACCCTTTTGTGCTTTTAGACATTGATGAATATGGGTTATAATCTCTTTAGGAGAGAAGATTATTGAGCAAATGAAACAAGTAAAGGAAGAAAGAAGACATCTGGAAAGAATTAGAGAAGTACTATTAAAAAAAGTTGAAAAGCTATTTGAACAGAACAAATTGAAGCGCTATCATGGTATAGTTTATTACATACTTCTGAAGTTTTGCAGAATTAATTTTGGAATATTAATACAGTTATAATTAATATTTGCTGTCTTAATGTTCAACTCCTAGATCCACTTCTGATTCCAACTTCCTGTAGATGTTCACCCTGGGAGGCAGTGGTTGATAGTTTAAGTACATGGGTCCCTGTCACCCATGTGGAAGGCTCCTTAGGACTGCTCAGGCTTTGGCCAATCTGGCTGTTGTAGGCTTTTGAGGAATGAACCAACAGAGTAAGAAAACTCTCTCTCACTACTTTTGTCTCTCTCTCTCTCTCAAATAAATAAAAGTAATTAATTTACTCAAAACAATTAATTATAGATCCCAATGAATGTTATGATAGAGGAATCATACAACTCTATGGCTGGGAATACAAAGAAAGAACACCTAAATTAGATTAAGAGATGAAGAGAGGGCTTCAGGAAAAGTGTTGAGTATGCTTCTGGACTCCAGGCCTTCAGGCATTCTTTTCCCTTCAACATGTACTTCATCCTACCCTCTTCCTTTTTGTTCACCTGGCTGTCAGCTTAGATAGCACTTGTTGTAGAAGGCTTTGCTGAGTCCCCAGGACTCCCCTAGGTGTTTGGTTTTCCTGGTGTGTGTGTATGTGTGTGTCTGCCTTACTAAAGTGAATGAATGAGGGAAATTAGGAAAAGTTAAGTCTTCTTGCAATATGATTGGAAACTGAGTTATTAGGACTGGTGAAAATGGAAAGATGAACCAGGATGAAAAAAGTATAGAATAATGGTTTGAGAGATTTAAATTATTTGGGAGGCCAGCATTTTGGGTTGTATATTAGGATTATGAGGATAAAAGGAATATACGGCATTTAACTAGTTTTAGGATTCTCAGTTTACAGCAAAATTATTGTTTTTGTGCTGACTGAAGGTTATAGACAATGTCAGGAAATATTTCTGGATATTTTGCCTTATATTGTTAAAATGTTATCTTAGAAATGGTGGCAGTGGCCAGCCTTGTGGTAATGTTAAAAGAGTGATTTTATCAGACAAATTGGAACAGTGAAGTAGAAATCTCAAGGCCTGGATTCTAATACCAAATAAGTCTTTTACTTACGCAGGTTATTTCTCCTTCTTGTGCCTCACTCTTTCTGTTTATAAAATGGGAATGATGAGTCACTTTCTATTTTAACAGGAGTGGTTCAAGATAGAAAGCATGTATTAGCCATAAAATATTTGTTGAGCCTACTCTGTGCCAGACATTGTTTCAGTTGCTGAGGATGCAGCAATGAACAAGACATGTAGGGAGCTGGTTTTCCAGTGAGAAGAGACAGACAAGAAACAAATAAGACCGTATCAGTTACTGATCAGAGTGAGACACCAACTAAGAAGAGCAAAGAGTAAAGGGGCAGGGCAGGAAGTGCTTTAGCTAGGATTCCAGGCAGGCTTCTCTAAGGAGATACCATTAAAATCGTATTAATAAGGAGACAGGTAAGTAGAATGATATAAAGCAGTCTGAACAGAAAGGACTGTAATGATCAGGATCTGGCGATAGAATGACCTTTAGAGTATTAAGGGCCTGAAATAAGGCCAGTATGGCTGAAGCGTGATAAATACAGAGGAATGTAGGAGATAAAATCACAAAGGTAGACCAGGAACACACAGGCCAAGTCAAGGAGTTAGGATTTTATTCCAAATATGGTGGAAGCCATTAGAGGATTTTAAGCTAAGGATTGACATGATTTGAAAAATATTTCAGAAATTTCAGAAGTGACTACTGTATGGAATAGCATTTAGAGGGGCAATGGTGGATGCAAAGATACCAGTTAGAAAAGCAATACAATTTTTTCTTTATTTTATAAAAGATGAGAGGGATTGACTGGAGACAGCACTGAAGAAGGTAGAATATATCGTATGTTGAAAGTATTTAGGCTTGGGGCTGGCGCCGTGGCTCACTTGGTAAATCCTCTGCCTGCGGCGCCAGCATTCCATATGGGCGCCGGGTTCTAGTCCCGGTTGCTCCTCTTCCAGTCCAGCTCTCTGCTGTGGCCCGGGAGTGCAGTGGAGGATGGTCCAGCTGCTTGGGCCCCTGCACCCGCATGGGAGACCAGGAAGAAGCACCTGGCTCCTGGCTTCGGATCGGCACAGAACCAACCGTGGCGGCCATTTGGGGAGTGAAACAACGGAAGGAAGACCTTTCTTTCTGTCTCTCTCACTGTTTAACTCTGCCTATCAAATAAAAAAAAAAAAAAAGTATTTAGGCTGTAGTACCAGAAGTTGCTGAGGAATTGCATAAGAGAGCATGGGGGAAATAAATAGCTAAAATCTAGAGCTGAAGTTCCAAATGACTATATAATTTTCATCAGATCACCTTATAATGTAGAACTTTCAGATTTGGGGTATTCATTCCCATGATATTCTGAAAGAAATAAGCATAGTATATTCTAGTAAAATAGCATATAGTTTATAGTTCTGTTTTACATTTTTACTTAGAATCTGGTGTCAAAGTAATTTCCTAAACTGGATGTGTTTAATTTCTATTATCAAACAAGGAGGCCGGCACCACGGCTCACTAGGCTAATCCTCCGCCTTGCGGCGCCAGCACACCGGATTCTGTCCCGGTTGCTCCTCTTCCAGGCCAGCTCTCTGCTGTGGCCAGGGAGTGCAGTGGAGGATGGCCCAAATGCTCGGGCCCTGCACCCCATGGGAGACCAGGAGAAGCACCCGGCTCCTGCCATTGGATCAGCGCCGTGCGCCGGCCGCAGCGCGCCGGTCGCAGTGGCCATTGGAGGGTGAACCAACTGCAAAGGAAGACCTTTCTCTCTGTCTCTCTCTCTCACTGTCCACTCTTCCTGTCAAAAAAAAAAAAAAATTATCAAACAAGGGTTCCAGAATTAAGAAACTCTGACATATTATAGAATTTGGGGGAAATATTTGGAATAATTCTGATAAATAATGAATCAGCAGATTTCACAAAACATTGATTATGAGAGCTAAAAAAAAGAACAATCTTTTTTTTTTTAAAGATTTATCTATTTATTTGAAAGGCAGAGTCACAGAGAGGCAGAGGCTGGGGGGGGGGGGGGTCTTCCATCCACTGATTCACTCCCCAGGTGGCCGCAATGGCCAGAGCTGTGCTGATCCGAAGCCAGGAGTCAGGAGCCTCCTCCAGGTCTCCCACACAGGTGCAGGAGCCCAAGGACTTGGGCCATCTTCCACTGCTTTCCCAGGCCATAGCAGAGAGCTGGATCAGAAGTGGAGCATCTGGGACTCAAACCGGTGTCCATATGGGATATCAGCACCACAGGCAGAGGATTACATAATACGCCACAGCACTTGCCCCAGAACAATCTTTTAAAATATATTATGTCTTCTACTTGTGCAGTTTTAATTATATAGATAATTATTACAAAAAAGATTATGCAAAAATAAAATAAATATAGTTTTTAATATATATTATATATAATAGTTTTAAATATAGTTTTTTAAAATTTAGTTTTAGCTAGTTTGGTATTTGTTTATGTTTAATTTTGTTTTTGAGAAAGAGAGACAGAGAAGGTGATTCCATCTGCTGGTTCACTTCACAAATACCAGCAAAGGGCTAGACCAGGGCCAAAACCAGGAGCCAGGAACCCAATCCAGGTCTCCAATGTGGGTGGCAGAAACTCAGTTACTTAAGCCACCAGCCACTGCCTCCCAGAATCTACATTAGCAGGAAACTGGAATCAGGAGCAGAACCAGAATCAAACACAGGCATCTTAACTGCCATCTCCATGACTAAATGCCCACCAAAGTATTTTTTTTTAACAAAGACTTTTCAGACTCGATCACATGTTTAAAGGAAAATGTGTTTGTGTCCTCTGAATGTATCACTTTTTTACTGTATTACTAGGCAATTTCTTTTTCTGTCCAACAAATATTTCTCTCTTAGCTCTAATGTCCTCAGAATATAAGGGAGGGAGAAGAGAAGGGGAGGAAAATGATTTAAATACACATTATCTGTTTGCAAGCTGAAAAATTTAATCCTTTAACCATATTAAACCTAGCCTTTGCTTTTTTTGTAGCCTGTGATAGTTGGAAGAAAAAATACCTTGAAACTAAGAAAGTGACAGCATCATTGGAGGAGGTCTTAACAAAACTTCGAGAAGATTTGGAACTTTACTATAAAAAATTGATGATGCAACTTGAAGCCAGGGAGATCAAGATGAGACCAAAAAATCTGGCAAACATTACAGACTCTAAAGTATTACCAAATATGTCCCTGTACAATTATTCTATTCAAAAATGCATGTGTTATAATTGTCAGTATTTAGAGGTTTTAGGCTGCAGATAATGAAACTTGGACTTCAACTTGCTTAAACAAAATTCATGACATGGAATGGGAGGATGGTTGATAGGAGATACAGTCAGCAGCTTAATAATGATAGCCTTAAAAATCTAGGTGCTTCCAATGTTATCTCATTATTTTTAGTGTTGGCTTCATTGGAAGACTTCTTTTTCTAATAAATAGCAACTGAGTTGCCAAAGGCAAGTAGGGCTACATATCTCAAAAACAAGATGGAAGCCACTCCCTGAATAATGGAATATATAAATCTTTCTCTTTTTTATTATTTTATTTCATTTATTTGACAGGTAGAGTTACAGACAGTGAGAGAGAGACAGAGAGAAAGGTCTTCCTTCTGTTGGTTCACTCCCCAAATGGCTGCCATGGCTGGCACTGCACCGATCCAAAGCCAGGAGCCAGGTGCTTCTTCCTGGTCTCCCATGCGGGTGCAGGGGCCCAAGCAGCTGGACCATCCTCCACTGTCCTCCAGGGCCACAGCAGAGAGCTGGACTGGAAGAGGAGCAACCGGGACTAGAACCCGGCGCCCATATGGAATGCCGGCACTGCAGGTGGAGGATTAACGGCGCCGGCCCCAAATCTTTCTCTTTAGCTTAGCGGTGGATCAACCAGACCCACCCTGAGATCATTAATAGTTACCAAGGAATGCTATGTACCAACTGATTTAGACTGATCAGCATCTACCTCTTAAGTATGGATGGGGCCACGTTTCCTGACTACAGGAAAGGTGAATACCTGATGAAATAGAGTAGGAGATGGGGCCAGTGCGTGGCTCACTTGGTTAATCCTCCGTCTGCAGCACCAGCATCCCATATGGGTGCCGGGTTATAGTCCCGGTTGCTCCTCTTCCAGTCTAGCTCTCTGCTGTGGCCTGGGGGCCAGTGGAGGATGGCCCAAGTGTTTGGGCCCCTGCACTCGCATGGGAGACCAGGAAGAAGCACCTGGCTCCTGGCTTTGGATTGGCGCAGCTCTGGCCATTGTAGCCATTTGGGGAGTGAACCAATGGAAGGAAGACCTTTCTCTCTGTCTCTCTCTCTCACTATAACTCTACCAGTCAAATAAATTTTTTAAAAAATAGAGTAGGAGGCCAGCAGTCCACTACAGTTATTGATAGTGTAAAGAAAATAGGAAATTTTGACCAGTTCACATTTTCTTGAGATAATCTTAACTTAGATCCGAAGCATGAAGTTTATTATTAATTCAATATAATTAAACAACAGATAAAAAATTCTAGAGGCCATTTAATAACTTGATTTTTGTTGGATTGACCTCCCACAAAAGATTTTAAAGATAAGTTAATTATGATGAAGAGCAAATATTTAACTTTAGACATGATGAAATATTAAAAGCTTACTATTTTAGATAATTTATTTTTTTTATTTTTTGACAGGCAGAGTGGACAGTGAGAGAGAGAGACAGAGAGAAAGGTCTTCCTTTACCATTGGTTCACCCTCCAATGGCTGCTGCGGCCGGCGCACCGCGCTGATCTGAAGCCAGGAGCCAGGTGCCTCTCCTGGTCTCTGATGCGGGTGCAGGGAGGGGCCTAAGGACTTGGGTCATCCTCCACTGCATTCCCAGGCCACAGCAGAGAGCTGGACTGGAAGAGGGGCAACTGGGACAGAATCCAGCGCCCCGACTGGGACTAGAACCCTGTGTGCCGGCTCCGCAGGCGGCGCTGGCCTGTTTTAGATAATTTAATATAAACTCCAAATAGGCTTAAGTAATGGTTTGTCAATACTAATGATCCTTGAGGTTGGAGCTGTGGTGTAGTGGGTTAAGCCCCAGCCTGCAGTGCCCACATCTCCTATGGGGGCTGGTTTGAGTCCCATCTGCTCCACTTCTGATCCAGCTCCCTGCTGATGTGCCTGGGAAAGCAGCAGAAGATGACCCAAGTCCTGGGGCCCTTGCACGCATGTGGGAGACCCAGAAGCTGTTCCTGGCTCTTGGCTTTAGTCTGGCCCAGCCCTGGCCATTGCGACCATTTGGGGAGTCAGCCAGTGGATGGAAGACCTCTCTGTCTCGCCTTTTCTCTCTGTAACTCTCAAAATAAATAAATCTTTTTAAAAAAATTAGTATAAATCAGTTTTTAAAAAATACTAATGATCTTTTTTATAAAGGCATAGCTGATACTTCATTCTTTTATTAAGTTCAGGATAAGAATTTTTTTATAAATGTAGTTTAAAGTTCTTACATAAACTTCTTTAATGGAGATTGTACCTAATTAAACTTCTCTGGACAAAAGTCTTCACAATTTATTAGATTTGTTTGTATTAAAAAATGTAGTGTTTCACTACTAAATATTTTAAAATAATTTTAATCTGACTTAGCTAACAAGCCATTATGCCAATTTCTTTTTTTTTAACAACAGTTTTTTGGTTTCTCTTAAGATGTATTCATTTGAAATTCAGAGTTACATTCCTCAAATGGCCACAAAAGCCAGGGCTGAGCCAGGTTGAAACCAGGAGCCTAGAACTCCATCCAGGTCTCCCACATGAGTGGCAGGGGCCCAAGCATTTGGACCATCTTCCATTACCTTACCAGGCACATTAGCAGGGAGCTGGATCATAAGCAGAGCAGCCAAGGACTGGAACCATTGCTCAAATGGAATGCTGCATTGCAGGCAGCTGCTTAAGCTGCTTTGCCACAGTACCAGCCATATATGCCTTTTTTTAAAAAAAGATTTATTTTATTGTTATTTGAAAGACAGAGTTACAAAAAGAGGGAGAGACAGAAACAAAGAAAGAGAGATCTTCCATCTGCTGTTTTACTCTCCAAATAGCCACTATGGTCAGGGCTGGGCCAGGCTGAAGCCAGGAGCCCGGAACACCATCCAGGTCTCCCACGTAGGTGGCACAGACCCAAGTACTTGTGCTGTCTTCCACTGTTTCCCCTGGAACATTAGACGGGAGCTGGATTGGAATTGGAGTAGCTGAAACTTGAGACTGGTACTCATATGGGATGCCATTGTTGAGGGCAGTGGTTTAACCCACTGCACCACAACACCAGCCCCATTCATGTGCCAATTTCTAAAGTTTTGCTAGTATCTTAAACCTCACTTATTTATTTATTTTTTTAAGATTTTATTTATTTGACAGGTAGAGTTACAGTGAGAGAGAGAGACAGAGAGAAAGGTCTTCCTTCCATTGGTTCACTCGCAAATGGCTACAATGGCCAGAGCTGCGCCAATCCAAAGCCAGGAGCCAGGTGCTTCTTCCTGGTCTCCCATGCAGGGTGCAGGGCCCAAGCACTTGGGCCATCTTCTACTGCTATCCCAGGCCATAGCGGAGAGCTGGACTGGAAGAGGAGCAACTGGGACTAGAACCCGGCATCCATATGGGATGCTGGTGCCGCAGGCAGAGGATTAACCCCAATGCGCCATGGTGCCGGCCCCTACTTATTTCTTTTATAGCAATAGTTGTTGGCTTTATAGTGTTAATTTAATGATAGCTTTTACAAGTTTTGTTTTAAGTAGAAAATGAATAATGGTATTAGGCAGAAGAGAAATAATTCACAAAATTAAGGAAATTAGCAGTAATCAGAATAGGAATTTATTCCAAAGTAATGTTTATTTTATGGGATAGGTTGTTTTCATGATTTGTCTTTTAATATTTGTTATCACTTCATAAGTGTGTTTTCAAAGCAGTATATCTTGTATAAAATGTATAGACTAAATAAGTACATCTTTATATATCTCACACAGAATTACCTTATAATCCAGATCACTGAGGTACAGCATGCAATTGACCAACTTAAAAGAAAATTGGATACTGACAAAATGAAACTCATAATAGAAGTTAAGGTAGTTTAAAATTTTCCTCATCTTATTTATAACATTTGTCTTGAAATAAAATATTTCAGTGTCTTAACTTGGATGTTGATACTATAAAGGTAGGCAGGAATGCTGGTCTTAATACTGCTGCCTTAACAACAACAAGCATGAGAAAAAAAAGTGCAGGAAGTAAACCCTGTGAAAAGATGCATGTTGTAACAAATTTTAGCAAATTTTCACTAAGAAGAATTAAAGGTAAAATGGCCTTGTGAGTCATTATGGTCTCAAAAGCTATTTTAAAAGAGGTAATTTTCCTATTTTACTGTCATTTATAAATAAGTCTGACAAACCACTGACCTCTCCTTTTAACTCCCATTTAATTTTCCCCCCTCTATTTGGTAATTATCTCATTCTCGCTGGTTTTAGATATATATATATATATATAATGTATATTATCTATACACACTTACTATTTATATGCTGTTTATTTTTAATATGAATCATGGACCTTCTATTACATGTTAAGTTTCCTTCAAGGCAGAGACTTACACCTTAGTTAACTTTGTTTCTTCCTTAGGAGCTTTTATAACGCTCAGTGGAGCGTTTTGGGCATAAGATCTGATAAGAATTGTGTATAATTATCACAGCACACGAATACTTTCTGAAATAAAGAAGTCTTGGAAAGCTCTTTTGTTAAACAGAAAATAGGATTACATATTTTCATACAAATAAACTCATAGAACAGGAAAATAAGAAATTACATGAATGCTCTCAATTCATTCTTTATCAGAAAAAGCTTTATGACACAGAGTAATGACCCCTTTCTAGAATTAGGATTGTCCACTAGCACTTTTTGTGATTATACAAATATTCCATATGTATACCATCTAACATAGTGGCCACTAGTCACCTACAGATACTGAGCTTGTGCGATGTAGGAACCAAATTTTAAATTTTATTTAACTTTAGTTAATGTAGATTTAATATATATAGAACCAGCTACTATATTGAACAGTAATGATTCTAGATTCTTTTCACTAGCAGTATTTTTGAGGCTACACCCTGGCTTAGCACTGGCAAGTTTAAAATCTAAAAAGGGAACAAAGTCTTCAGCTTATAAAATGAGAGAGGAAAATCTTGTGTTTGATCTCTTATGTGATTGGTACATAAGAGACATTATAATAAGTATTTATTAGTTTCTGAATGAACTATCCAAAACAGTCCTATCTCAGATTCAGAACTAAGGTTTTCTCAAAGTTTCATTGATATCTGGGGAATCCTGTTAAAAAATATTCAGGAGGTCTGGGTACCAGAGACTCTTCATTCTTGCCAAGTTCCCAGACAGTGCTAATGCTACTGGTTCTTAGACAGTAATTGGAATAGCAAGGGTCCTGGTACCAGGTAGATTGGGTTTGTATCCTGACTGCATCATTTTCTAGTTTTAAACCCTAAGCATGTTACTTAGCCTCTTTGGGTCTCAAGTTTCCTCAGCTATAAAATGGGAATCCATGAATATCTGCTTCAGATAAAATTTTTGAAAAAATTCAAAGGGGTAAATGCACTAGAAGAGTGCTTATGTTTCTTAAATATTTGTTCAGTTACTAAGTGCTAAGAGTTAATATTGTTTTTGAATTTCTGAGTTTTGTTTTTTTTGTTTACTAATTTATGTACATATTAAAAACAGCAAATTTTGAAGCTCAAGCAAAAAATAAAATTTGTTCTGTCTGGTTTGTAGGACAGTTCAATTACATTATCCCTGTATAAAAGGGCACTTCAAGAAGTTTGTGGAAGATGGAATTGAATCTGTGCATACAAAGAGTCTTCAAAGAGTTAATGAAAAGTCTGTTATGAAAAAACTATGCATGGATCTCAAGATTTTTTGTGCCACAATAAATATATTTTAATTTCATTTTTCCACAATCTTTTTGAAGTAGCCTTACACTATAAAGGAAATTATCCCATAACATATAGATAAGCAGGATAATTAAGCAGAATTTATGACCTACATGTTTATTATACTTATGGAATCACTGAAGGCAAATAATGGTTAAAGTAGTTATTTTTAAAAACCTTATTTACATGAAGATTATGGTGCTCTTTTAAAAAGGTAAAATGGAGTTCATTTTTAAAAGGTAATTGTTTTTATAGATGAGAAAACAAGCTGTTTCAGATTTACGAACATTGAAAGCTGAACTGGCACAGAAAAAAAATAACCCATCTTTACAATCACAATTAGGTATGTTAATTCAAAATTTTTATTTGTTAAAAAATTTAAATTTTTGAGAAGATTTATTTATTGTTCTCTTCGGTAATATTCTATATAAATTATAAGGCTTATCTTTCTTCATTTTTAACATATTACAAACAATTTCTGGAAATATTAATTGTAACATAAAGCAGAATGGTTGCTATTTGTTTTTTGAAGATTGCAAGTCTATTACCTGTTATTTTACAGTACTATGTTTTATAATTGCTTTCATTTTAAACATTTAAAATTTATTTTATTTATTTGAAAAGCAGAGAAGCAGACAGAGATTTCCCATCTGCTGGTTTACTACACAAATACCTGCAACAAATAGAGCTGGCCAAGCTGAGGCCGGGAGTCAGGAGCTCAACCCAAGTCTCCCATGTGGATGGCAGGGATCCAAGTATTTGAGCCATCACATGCTGCATTCAGAGAACACATTAGGAGGAGGCTGGAATCTCAAGTACAGTCAGGACTGGAACCCAGGCATTCCCACATGGAATGAAGATGTCCCAAGTGACAATTGCTGCACCAAATGCCCATTCTGCTTTTCACTTTTAATCTTAAAATTTAAGAAGAAATATAACTGAAAAATCCAATTACAAAGAAAAATGTATTAACAAAGATCGATACATTTGCATGAAAATACACTTAATTTGTTATTTTATCATAATCTAATGTAATCTGGAGGTAGAATAGATATATTGAATTTATATCTAATGAAAGTGATTAGTATATTTATTTATTTCAGAATTCATTTTTCAGAAATAGAAATATATATATAAAACATTTAAATATATAAAGTTATTTTAAAACTACAAAATGATTCCATATGTATTATAGAATTAGTTCATTTTACTGTTATAAACAATTATGTAAATAGGAAATGTAATTTCATAACAGATAGTTGAATCATCAATTTATTCTAGTTGGGGTAGGGGAGAATGTTTAGGGAAGGCAAGGTTTATGTAAATCTAGAGTTCAAGGATGCACATTTTTAATCTGTATGTTTAGAAGAACTAATATAAGTGAAAAACGGTGTTGTCCTTAACTGCCTTGACAAAGAGAACAGAGACTTCATAACATTTAGAAAAGTTCTTTTCATAAAATTAATCTTTAAAAAGGTAAGATTAATCAATGTCTTTAGATAGTTAAATATAAAATGCAAATATAGAAAAAGAAAACTATCCAATAAGTAAATTATAGATGTCCATAAATGGATATGAGTAATTAGAGGTATAAATGATAGTTAATAAAACCAAGTTATTCCTATTGAAAAATATTTTACAGATAAACCTCATAAAAATAATCTAGTTAGAAAATATTAGGCAGCCCTAACTTACTAATTCAAAATATTACCAAGCTTTGTTCTTACATTTTGTGGGTACATTTAATTCTTTGCATTATTGTTTTTCTCTCATTCACATGTTTGGAGGTTTAAATGAATCTATTCCAAGTACCTCAGAGAACATGTGTACACTCCATATAGTGTCAGGAACCGGAAAAATTATTTTTACTACTTTGATCAAGAGGAGACATGTATATTCTATATTTTAAATTAAAGATCTACAGAAAAAAATAAGCACAGCACAAACTGTTTCTCAAGAGCTAGGTTTTTAAAAAATCTTAAGAAAACAATTTACATTTCAAATTATATGTTTTTAAAACCAACATTGATTTATAAATGTATATTTTAATATCAATGGTGGGGGAGATTAGTATAACATTTTGAAAGGAATTTTTTTTAATTACATTATAGTATTGGAACAGAGGACTATTTAACATAGTAAGCTGACTTGTTTCTTCCCTTTGTTCCCTGGATACTAAAGATAGAACTTTCTTCTTTTTTTTAAGATTTATTTATTTATTTAAAAGTCAGAATTACAGAGAAAGGGAGAGACAGAGATCTCTCATTTGCTGGTTCATGCCACAGATAGCCACAACAGAGCCAGGAGCTTCTTTCATGTCTCCCACATGGGTGCAGGGGCCCAGGGACTTCATCCATCCTCTGCTGCTCTTGCAGGTGTATTAGCAGAAAGCTGTGGATCAAAAGTGGAGCAGCCACAACTCGAACTGACGCCCATATGGGATGCCAGTGTCACAGGCTTTACCCACTATGACACATTGCCGGCCCCAGAAATTTGTATTTTTCAAATCAAATCATTTCTTTATTCTTTATCTGGGTTTTTTTTCTCAGTATATTAATAAGAAAAGTATATAGAAACATAACAAAAAGGAATACATTTTTTATCTCTTCAAGAAACTATTTATATAGATCGTTTTTCTAAATCGTTAGTAGTTTGACACAAGATGTTCATCTCTGTGCTGGTTTCGGCTTTAGGGCTTTCCACATTTCTTCAGTTTGTTGTTTGGCTACAGCACCTCCAGAGTAGTCAAGACAGTCTGCATTCCACATGCCAATACCGCGTAAGCCATACTGTGGTATATGTTCTGCCTTCAAGGAAATGCTCCGAGGGTTATCATACCACACTTGATGTAACTGGCCAGAAGGATCCTATACAAATAAATTAGAATGGAAATTTGAAGTATTCAGTACAATAAGAGGAAAAAATTCTTAAATCCAAGAACTCAAACAATATACAATGAAATAATGAAACTTAGTTTGTAATACTTTCCCATTCTATTATTTCATGGTTCCATATATGATGCCTTCTAGATATTATTGTTTATGGTACTTGTAATAATATTAAAGATTACACAAATTAATCTCCTAAAATCTGCTCTTTAAGGTCCTTCTCATGTCCTGAGATTCTTTCCTTACTCTGACCTAATGATTATCAGCCAAGATGAAAATCTGAATCACTTATAGAGCTTTAGAAAGTAAAGATATCTGGTACTCACATCACACCAAACCTTACTGAATCAAAATTGTCCAGGGTTGATGCAATGACATTTAGAGTGTTTTAGTTTGCTCTTTTAATATTCCATTAGGTAATTCTGATATGCAGCCAAAGTTAAGATGAATCGCTGTTCTAAAACTAGCTAATACACATTTTTGTATTCCCTACAGTTCCTGGAAATGTGCATAGCTAGGAGCTGGACAGATGATTTTGTTTGTGATGAATCAGTCAAATCAAAAGGTAACAACAGAGAAGGAAAGTGCTCCTTTTATAGGTATTGCAAAGTTGATTCTAAGAGCCTATTAGGTCTGGACTGTATGAGCGGTTTAACACATACCTGATTAAGAACCACAAATTAGATTCTGGATATGCTCATGTTCCACTCTGCATAGCTCTTCAACTAGGTGATGCCTCTGCCTTATACTATCAGTCTCTCTTAGGAGGCACATGAGTTATTGGATAAAGGATAAAGGAAAGCTGGCGCCGCGGCTCACTAGGCTAATCCCCTGCCTTGCGGCGCCGGCACACCGGGTTCTAGTCCCGGTTGGGGCACCGGATTCTGTCCCAGTTGCCCCTCTTCCAGGCCAGCTCTCTGCTGTGGCCAGGGATTGCAGTGGAGGATGGCCCAAATGCTTGGGCCCTGCACCCCATGGGAGACCAGGATAAGTACCTGGCTCCTGCCATCTGATCAGCGCGGTGCACCGGCCGTGGCGGCCATTGGAGGGTGAACCAACGGTAAAGGAAGACCTTTCTTTCTGTCTCTCTCTCTCACTGTCCACTCTGCCTGTCAAAAAAATAATAATAATAAAAATTTAAAAAAATTTAAAAAAAGGATAAAGGAAAAGGATAGGATCAGATTTAGGCAAAAGGGTAATGGAAAGGAAAAAAGATAGGAGGTAAAAATAGAAAGATCTGTAACTAAAAATAATTTGCCAATTTTTACATACATCTAGGATATTTCTTAAAGGCAACTAACAATGAATGCTAGTGATATTTTTATTTACGGTAGCATTCTCCTGGAATTGGAATAGTTTCCTAAGATGATTTCTTTAAAGGACAACAGTCGGCCAGCACCGTGGCTCACTAGGCTAATCCTCTGCCTGCTGCGCCAGCACTCCAGGTTCTAGTCCCGGTTGGGGTGCCGGATTCTGTCCCGGTTGCTCCTTTCCAGTCCAGCTCTCTGCTGTGGCCCGGGAGGGCAGTGGAGGATGGCCTAAGTCTTGGGCCCTGTACCCGCATGGGAGACCAGGAGGAAGGACTTGGCTTTGGATCGGCACAGTGCATCGGCCATAGCAGCCATTTGGGGGTGAACCAACGGAAGGAAGACCTTTCTCTGTCTCTCTTTCTCACTCTCTAACTCTGCCTGTCAAAAAAAAAAAAAAAAAAAGGACAACAGTCAGTTGGTAAATTAATAAACTGTGGCATATTTAATATAATAGATTCATTACATATAAACATCCCATTCTGTATCTTGGGTTCTATTCTTTACCATTTTTTAGAACTAGACAAAGCCAAGCATGGTCTCATATCAGTTGTGATTCACAATTTAAAGGCAACCAGAAGAACCTGTACCTAAATATAAAAGATTTTTGAAGTCTCAGGGGCAAACTCAAAAATGTACTCCATATATCTTTGATTTCTGTTGTCATTCTAACTAGTGCTTTGAACCTTTTTCTTAAAAAGATTTATTTATTTATTTGAAAGGCAGAGTTACAGAGAAGCAGAGACAGAGACAGAGTTAGAGTGAGAGGTCCTCCATCCACTGGTTCACTCCCCAGATGGCTGCCAACAGCTAGAGCTGCACTGATCCAAAGCCAGGATCCAGGAGCTTCCTCTGGGTCTCCCACATGGGTGCAGCCACCTGGGCCATCCTCCGCTGCTTTCCTGGGCCATAGCAGAGAGCTGGATCGGAAGTGGAGCACCCAGGACTCGAACTGGTGCCTATATGGAATGTTGGCACTGCAGGCAGTGGCTTTACCCGCTATGCCACAGCGCCAGAGCCTTTTTGACATTGTTAAGAAAGTCAAATGGATCAAAATAGTGAAGGATCAAAGGGTGAAAAATGACATATTTGTAGATTGATTTAGGCATGGTTTGGGCATATGTGCCTTCTAGAATATTGAGTCCAAGATGAAGCTACTGTTGTCAAGACCATGTAAGAAGGCAGAGTTTATGCTAATAAGTATATATTTTTTATTCTAAAGTTCAGAAAGCTCTACACTAGAGTTTTCTATGTAACTGAAAAGCTGTATACATGTTTATCAATTATAATTTTATATATAAGAAATGTATGGTCAAAGACAAGTTTACTCATGTCTGAATGTTTTGCCCTGAAATAAAACTGATAGAAATTATTACTATCAAATATATAATTATAAAAACATATAATTATAAAACTAATATAAGGATCATAACATGTAGAAAGTCTTACTTTATAGTTATAATAAGGAGCTTGCTGATCTTCATCCCATTGGCTTCCAGAAATAGAACTATGTATTTCCTTCATAATCACTTTATAGGGCACCTGGTGTCCTGCAGCATCACTGCAGGGCGCCCCCCGGAAAGGGACTTTTGCAATGGTGCAAACATGACTCTAGAAATGCAAAAATGTTCTCGTTATAGATTATCGATTAAACAAATCTTAGGTGTCAAATCAGAAAAATAAACAAAAACTGGTATAAAATACATGCTTTTAGTAGAAAACCTGACTTTATAGAATAAAAGTTTAAATAAATTTAATGATTAGATGAAATTGTATCACAATCAAAAGCTGCCATGAGATCAAATAATTTAAAATACGTAATTATTGGTCTCAAAGTATATTTCAGAAATTCTAAAGTTTGTATATTTATAATGAAACAAAAGAAGTTATAAAATATTATATATTCAAGAAAAAATGAGATAACAAATGACCTATTCTTACCTCAGATAGATTCAGGCAGGTGTAATCATAACCATACCAGGGAACACCCATTACAAGTTTCTTAGGGTTAATGCCCATCTTTATGTAGTCTCTATATCCTAGTCAGTAAGACAGAATAAGCATATTTGTTTCTCTTTGTCTGCTAATGTGTTCATAAAAGCCATGCAACACTCAGAATCTAGGTATGTAAAAACAAGTACATTTATGCAAAGTACTAAAAGTTTCTCCAACATAACATAATAAAAGTAATTCCTTAAAAACTATAACCCATATCTTCCTTTCTTAGCTGTTTCTTTCTGGATAAGATAAAGTTTTCAAAATAATTAAGATCATATTGAAGGAAAAATTACAAAATCTAAGAATGACACATTTCAGGAAAACATGCTAATTGTTATCCATTAACTGCTAAGATATGATATATCTAAAAAGTGTTAACAAAATTGTATAAATCTTAAACTTTTGACATTGATGGTCTCAGAAAGCAAAAGTGTTCTGTGTTTACAATATCCTATAAGGATCTTAGTGATGGCTAGGGATGGGAAATGTCCCCCCTCTTATTCTATAGTAGACAATCTGTAGTTGGAGGAAAGAAAGAGAAAAATAAATTTTGGTACTATCAATCCTTTCCTTACCCAATACTGTAAAACATATTTTCTTGATCTGCAGTCAAATGCTCTACCACTGAGCTATACCCCCGCGCCAAAACATATTTTCTTACAAAGAGATACTCACAGGTTATCTAGAATGTTGAGTTAAATACATTTAATTGCATTTTCAGACCCTTTAATATCACTCTGTACTGATAAACATCTAAAAGAGGGATGGGATATGCTTTGTTTCCAAAACATAGTTGATAATAAACCTTTTACTGATAAAACATAATATCTCTTCCATGAAACACAGTTGGAGAACACTGAATTAAGTTCTTTGTAATTTTAACAGAATGAAAGTTAATTTTAAAATTTAAATAATAGATATTTATGATCAGCCTATTCTGTCCCACCATCATGATATGATTAAATGAGACTGGGTTCTAAGATTTTTACCTTTACGTGAAAGAGGAAAAAATTTTATTTGCAAATCAGTCAACAAGTAATCAGTACCAAGTATCCAGAAGATTTCAGTTGAGTCCAAAAGATAGCAAGCAATCTTTTATTCAATTGACTGAAGGATACAAACCATTCTTGGAGAGGGTAATACAGATACTATAACTTGATAGGTCAGAAGTAGTCTTAATTACAATAGGAATATAATTTTTAATATAAGTAATAATGTTAAATAAGATAGTCAATCCCAAATATAGGAGGTACCCATACCAAAATTATCTTTGCTATTATTTAACAGATTATTTCAACAAAAATATCCTATCAAGTTCTAGATAAGCAAGTATCTTCTTCATGTAATTTCATGACAAAAGTTGGACTTAAGGTTAGAATACCTGTTTGATTTATAATATTTACTAGATATGCAACCATGAGCTCTTTTCATCTCATCTATAATAGAAGGTTAATGGTAATATATCAATCCCATAAATTGTTATATGAATTACGGGCAAATTTAGAAACATTCTGTAAACATTAAATAACCCTTCAAATTAAGTGACTTTTACATGTTTCAAACAAGCTTTACAAATGGAAAGGGTATACAAATAACTTAGAAATACCACAAGATATCTTAATGTTTGAGATTCTGGAATTAATATTACTAATAAATGATCACTTTGTGGCTTCTTACCAGTTAATGTCTGATTGAAGGGAGCATTGGCTGCTGCAATACATTCTGACCAGACCTGACTTTGTTCATCGTAAGACATCACAAAGAGAAAGTCACAAGCATCTGCAATTCCAGTATAATTATAGCACCTTCCGTCTATATTCTTTGGAGACCAAGCAACATCAAAGGTTACCTGTGAGAAAAACACAAATTGTTTTGTGTAACATGATCAAATGTCTATATTATATCAGATTTTTTTATTCTATATTCTCTTACCTCATGCTACCCAAGAAAAAAAGAACTACTTAAAGTGTATAAATGTTGAGTTTTACATATACAGAGCTACAACAGTACTAAGAAATATATATTTTTTTTACTACATTCAACTGGCCCAGACATATGTTTGGACATACAATGACTAGGACCAGGGCTCTCTATAGAAGAGCAGCTTGATACCCAAATGATTTCAATCAGCTGGTAACTCAACTGATTGAAAGAAGCCTATTTAATGACAATGGGAGAGGGGGAAGCTGAGTAACTGGAGAGTAAAGGAACCCTAAAAGAATTTAAATACAATACTTATTAAAGGTAGTGTGGGGGCAAAATAGGTCACCTGATGACACAAGCAGACTGGGTTGTGAGGTTAAGCTTCTGATGCACAATCACGTTAATTGGTAGCTTTGGCCCAATAGTATATTATAGTGGTGTTTTATGGCCCACAGTTATAATCAACTCAAAATGGCAAAAAAATCATTTAAAATGATCTTTTATTGAAATATTCAAATAAAACTTGAGTGATGTATTGTCTTTCATTTTGAATGTTGAGAGACTCTTTAAATTGTTTATTGCTTTAGCCAAATATTAACCAGCTTTATTTATGTATATAAATATTCTAAAACTTCATTAGAGGTTTTTTCTCCTTAACTAGACACTCAATAGCACCTAATAATTAATTATTACAAAAGTTGATGGGGCTGGCATTGTGGCGTAACTGATTAAGTTGCCACCGCTTGTCACACAGGCATCCCATGTGGTTGCCAGTTCCTACAGCCCCACTTCAGATCCAGCTCACTGCCAATGTACCTGAGAAAGCAGTGAAAGATGACCCAAGCACTTGGGTCCCTGAACCCATGCTGAGAGAACTAGTTGAAGCCCCTGGCTTTAGCCTGACCCAGCCCTTGCCACTGGCAGCCACGTGGGAGTGAACTACATCAGCTATTATTTTACCAATGGTTCTCTCCTTCTCTCTCTGTCTCTCTCTTCCTTCTGTCTCCTCCCTCCCCCACTCCTTGCTCTTGCTCTCTCTTTAACTCTTCCTTTCAAGAAATAAATCTTTTTTTAAAAAAAAATTGAGATACTGGAGGTAAAGTTTTTATATTTTGACCAATTTTTCCTACCAAAGCTCTGTTTAGGATTTTCTCAGTTCTCTCTCAATTTTTTGAATATTAACATTAATACTAAAAGAAGCTCAGCTTTACAAGGACTGGCTTTCCAACAAAATAGGTTATGAAGTAAAATTGGACCCCATTTTGTCACTGCCTCCTTTTTCAAAATGGGAACTACATGATAGGAATTGAGAAAATAAATAAATACATCTAAGTATGGAAATTTCAAATCTATTTTGAAAGTCTTTACCTTTCCCTTGAGTATTAAGAGAACTACCACCTGAATTTTCTGTCATAGTTTACCTCATATTTCTGAAAAGATATATATTAGATACAGAAATCAAAAGATGTGGCTTCTAGTCTTGGCTGTGTTATAACCAGGTCTGTATCACTGTGAAGTCACTTAAAGCTTCTGACTCTGTTTTCTCACTTATGAAACTAAGAAAGGAAAAAGAACTCTTCAAAGGCATTTTTAGCTCTTTACTTTTATGAGCACAATTTCATAAACTTAAATCGTCATCTTTTCCCCAAAACTCATTTCCCCTTCTATTCTCCCTATTTTAGTCCTTTCTTAGTTTTGCTTTATTTTTTATTCTTTTCTGGTCACCAGTTTAAGAATCTTTTGGCCATTTTTTGACTCTTCTCTCACATTCCAAATCCAGTCTCACTTTTTCCTTTGAGTGGCCTCCCACAGTTAGCTCTGCTTCTTCCTTTCCAATAATCCATTAATTCAAAACAAATTTATTTTAACACCTGCTGAATGTGTTAGGGTTATGTCATCATCTCAGTCCAAACTATAAATCTCTCATTATTGGACTGATAAATTAGTTCTTACGAGTCTTCCTTTCTCCTATAGTTTTACATACTATTACAAAATAATATCCCAAAACACTGTTCTACATATATAACCCATTATAAACAGCATAAAATGGCATACCCCTCAGCCTGATACACTAGATCTTCCACAATCTGGCCTTTCTGTACAGTTGTACCTCCATTTAACTCACTTAACAGGAACCTGACACAGTAGCCGCAGCCACTCTACATGCCCTTCAAACATGGAAATAGATGCTCCTACATAGAGGTTTTCCTCAGTCTTCATCCTGGCCTTTTCATTATAGCTTAATCAGGACTGGCAAATAGTTATTGGCACACACCAATCTTAAGCTATTAGTAACAACTAGCTAGAGAATGAAACAACAATTTCTGAAACCAAAATTTGTGAGGGGAGTATTATGGCCTGCATGCCAGGAACTTGTTACTCCTCATCTACATAGTACTCACCTGAAGTTTCCCTAGTGATAAAACTTCCTTACTCACATCAGCTATTATTTTACCAATGATTCTCAAATGCATAACAACCAAAAAAATCATCTACAGCACTTGACAAAGATGCAGTTCTCAGGCTGTATCCCAGGCCCAGTGGATCAATCTTGGGAGATTTTACGTGAATGCTCCCAGGTCATTCAAAGGCTCTACATTTTAAGTACAGTCAGCCCTCTATATCCATGGATCATGCATCCTTGCATTCAACCAACTGGAGATCAAAAATATTTTCTAAAAATCTGTGACTGGGGCCAGCATTGTAGTGCAACAGGTTACACTGCTATCTGCAACACTAGCGTCTCATATAGGTACTGGTTCAAGTCCTGACTGCCCCACTTCTGATTCAGCTCTCTACTAATGGGCCTAGGAAAGCAGTGGAAGATGGTCCAAGTACTTGCACCCATGTGGGAGGCCCTGAAGAAGGTCCTGGCTTCCACCTGGCTCAAAACCAGGCCCGTATATGGGATGCCAGCACTGCAGACTGCAGCTTAACCCACTGAGCCACAGTGCCAGCCCCTTAATTTAAAATTTTAAAAGATTATTCATTCACTAAGTAAACGGATTTTAAATAGTGTGTTTCACATCAAAGAGCTGGTCTCTTTCTTCAAAAAAAAAAAAAAAAAAACCTTATTGTCTAGACCAGTAACGCTTAACTGTAATTGTCGCTCCCCGTCTTCGTGGAGGAACGACACAGGACCCTGCGTTGTTCTTTTGTCTGCTCGGCCCTCCCCGGGTTTGCTGCTGGTTCTTCCCGGGTTGGCTACCGACCCTTCCACCTCCGTGGAAGGGCGGTTCCCCCTGCCACATTCCCCACTTCCGCGGGGGAGCGGCACACCGCAGGCCGGCTCTCTTGGGGGCTGCACAGGTGTTCCTTCAGATGTTCCCCTTAGATGTTCCTCGTGCATGCCGTCTCTCTCCTCCTTTATAGTCCTCCTCCGCCAATCCTAACTCGGCTGCCCACACGCCGAGTAGCTGCTCTCCTCCAATCAGGAGCAGGATCAGCTCCTGGAGGTCATCACTCAAGTTGGCAAGAGGCAGCTGCGTAGAAGCTGTTTTCTCCTCTCCCAGCACCATATTGTGGGAGAGCAGATGCATAGAATAAGTCTTAATTCGAGTAACTCAGTCCAGTCTGGGTTGCTCCCCACAATAATCAACTGTGAAACTTTTATAAATTATGGGTTCTGAGATCACTCAAAACCTCTGAATAATAATTTCTCAGGAGAAGGTATTGTGCTACAGTGGTTAAGACGCCACTAGGGACACCCACATCCCATATCAGAGTACCCACATTCAAGTCCCTGATCTGCTTCTGATCCATTGTCCTACCAATGTATACCCCTGGGAGGCAGCAGGTGATGGGTTCCTGCTACCCATGTGGGAAACCCATGTGAAGTTCAAGACTTCTGGTTTTGGCCTGGCCCAGCCCTGCTTGTTGTGAATATTTGGGAAGCGAACCAGTGGATAGGCACTTTGCCTTTAATTAATTAATGAAAATAAATAAACTGAACTTTAAAAAATTGGAGGGATTACCTGGTATAGGTATGTGTTTGTACAGATGCACACGTGCATGTATTTATTTTTTTAAGACCTGTTGTTATCTTACCATGTGGCCAGGTCTGAGAATCTGATCTGGAGTCACACTATCCTTAGGTACCTACACATTGCCTGGTAAGATGCCCTGTGTTGTGATCTGATGTAATCATGCTCGTTATGGCCATGGAAAAGCACATGGCCTACTGTCGTCACTCTGAAGATTTCTGTGGATTTAGCCCTTGAATCCTATCAGGCCTTGGGTCCTCTGCAAGAAATTCAGACTATAGGCTGGCGCTGCAGCTCACTTGGCTAATCCTCCGCCTGCAGCGCCGGCACACCGGGTTCTAGTCCCGGTCAGGGCGCCGGGTTCAGTCCCGGTTGCCCCTCTTCCAGGCCAGCTCTCTGCTGTGGCCAGGGAGTGCAGTGGAGGATGGCCCAAGTGCTTGGGCCCTGCACCCCATGGGAGACCAGGAGAAGCACCTGGCTCCTGGCTTCCGATTGGTGCAGTGCTGGCGGTAGCGGCCATTTGGGGGGTGAACCAACGGAAGGAAGACCTTTCTCTATGTCTCTGTCTCTGTCTCTGTCTCTCTCTCTCTCTCTCACTGTCTAACTCTGCCTGTCAAAAAAAAAATAAATAAAAGAAAAAGAAAGAAATTCAGACTATAGAGCAAGTGAGACACTTCCCCAGCACTAGTTTTCTGCTCACTAGTTGTATGCTTAGGCAAGAGCTGCTTCAGTCCTGCATGGGTGGAAGCCAGGTAGGCGCTCCCTGATCCTTGCTGCCCCCATTACCTATCTAATGCTTGTAAACCTACTGCAACGCAAGTAGTGGGGCAATCCACGTGTGTTGTTTTGACATGAATAGAGAACAGATTCAGTGTCTTAAAATTCCTTAAATAAGAACATCAGAATTTTTTTTTACTAAATAAGTGCTGAAATTCTTTCCCATTCCATCACTACAACACTAAGATTGCATTATTGTGTTTGTGCAGATGCATATACACAGGAATTGACTCTTTTTTAGGACTCCTCATGAGTACAATTTGATAGGGAAAGTATGGGATTTCCCCAAAAATGAGTTTTTACCTGTGATCCCTCAATTTCATGATGGAATGCATCCGTGGTTTCTTTGACTAAAGCAGTTAATGCATCATATTCTGGAGATGAACATGTAACTTCTTGCTCTATGTCTATATTAATTCCATCCATATGCTGCGCTTTGGCCAATTTCAGTTTTTCAGCTATCCAGGATGCTCTGAAAGTTGGATCAGTTATCTTCTTTAAAGATACATCTCCTATGGAAAAAGGATACATCTTTTATACATACATATTTTTCAGTTTAATGACATTTATTCACAAACTGATTCCCAAAGATATCAAGATGTCTTTAAGATACTTTACTATTTTGGAATTCTAAGCCCCTAATTGAAGTTTTCCAGATGGAAAAATAATACGCCAAAGTAACAAATACTCATTACTCATTAATCTCCACAATAATCATTATATAATAATTGGTAAAACCTTGTTCAAATTAGCAGCAGAAATTGTGGATTATGACTAACTGTTATCATGATAATTATTTTTTAATTTTATTAAAATTTTTTTATTTACTTGAAAGGCAGAGTTATAGTGAAGAGGAGAGTCAGAGAGAGAGAGAGGAAGAGAGAGAGACAGAGAAATCTTCTATCTGCTGGTTCACTCTGTATATGGCCACAACAGCTAGGGCTGAGCCAGACCAGAGCCAGAACCTCCTTCGGGTCTCCCATGTGGGTTCAGGGGCCCAGGTACTTGGGCCATCCTCCACTGCTTTCCCAGGCACATGAGCAGGGAGCTGGATCAGAAGTGGAGCAGTTGGGTCTTGAACTGACACCCTTATGGGATGCTGGTGTCACAAGCAGAGGCTTAACCTGACGGCCCCTATCATGCTAATTAACAGTACTGTTTTGCTCCAGATTACACACTGGTTTATTTAATTCCTTTTAAAAATCTATTTATAAATGAATTTTTAAAATAGTTTTAAAAGATTTATTATTTATTTGAAAGGCAGAGTTACAGAGAGAGGAGGAGACACACACACACACACACACACACACAGAGATCTTCCATCCACTAGTTCACTCTCCAAATGGCCACAATGGCCAGACCTGGGCCAGGCTGAAGCCAAGACTTTCTTTCAGGTCTCCCATGTAGGTGCAGGAGCTATCCTCAGCTTCATTCCCAGGCCATTAGCAGGGAACTGGATTGGAAGTGGAGCAGCCAGGACTTGAATCAGTGCCCATATGGGATGCCAGCGTCACAGGTGGAGGCTTAACCTGCTACACCACAACACTGGCCTCTATAAATGAATTTAACAATGTTTATAATTAATAGTAGGATAAAAAAAGACAAAAAGGAAATATTTTAGGAAGTCAGGAGTATAGCAAATGATACAGATAAGTTTGTCAACTGACTGGACAATAAAAACATACCTTTTAGTACTACCCTGGCTCCTTTTGAATGAGCATGGCACATAAGTTCTGAGTTGTATCTTCCAAAAACTGCCACAGTTGTAATCTGTGTCCAATCATAAGATTTCCAAGTTTTCTGTCCAACATGAAATACAAAGACCTGCCAGAGCAATAGGGATAAACATCATCACTTCAACCAAGAACATCATGCAGACCGTACAAGCCACATGCCATGGTGGACACTGAGAGCGTACAGTGAGTACAACAGAGGGGCCGCGGTAGAACTAGGAGATCCTGCAGCAAACTAACAGTACTTTGTGATTCACTGAATGAGAAGGCAAGAGACTGGGAGGAGTTTGATAATACTCAAGACTCTGGCTTTGCAGATGGAGCCACAGATAGTGAATTACTAGATGTGGTTTTTGGTGAAACTGCTAAGACTACTACTCATACTCTAAGGCAGCTGATATTATGTTTTCCAATCTTTCTTCTGACAGATAATTCTAGAAGTTCATAAGTCTCAATGATCATTCTAATTTTATCCCAATATATTAATTAATTAAGTTTCAGTAAGTTATAGGGAGATTACGTTGTTAGGCACTAGGAACACAGAGGTTAACAAGAGAGGCCTGGCCTGCTTGTGAGTTAATTACTAAATTACAGTAGTACTTAGGATGGTGCTGGGGGCCATGACAGCATGCAAAGGAGACCTATGATCCAGGTGCGGCCGGAAAACTTCCCTGTGGACCACACGTTTTAGGGAGATCTGTGGAATGAAGGATGAAGGCTACCTATGAACAAAAGAGAGCATTCTTGGCAGAAGGAATAAAAAGGTCCAAGGTCCCTACACCTCAGGAGAATTTTGAGGTGATGGAACTAAAAGGTCAATGTAACCGGTTACATGTACCACAGAAACCCTGAAAGTATGAGAGTGTGGAGCTGGATAAAACTAGTAAGGTGAGTGGAGACAAGATCAAGTAGCTATCTGTAGGCCTCTGAGGGTTTTATATTTTAGTCAGAGATCAATGGGAAGCCACTGGAGTTTTAAGCAGGAGTGGACATCAGATTTATATTATAAAAAGTAGGTCACTGGGTGACTGTGAAGAGAATGGATAGGGAAGGGGCATTAGCTATAAAAATTAAGACACTGCTTAATTTCATAAATTTTTTTCTGGTTTCTCAGAGTTAACTATGCATAACTCATTTTTCCACTAAGTAACAGCTGGTGAAATAAAAAAATTACAGAATGCAAAACCGAATGACGCATTCTTTAGGCTCATATTTTTATCAAACCTCCTCCCCTGTTTTGTTTTTTTTTTTTTTTTTTTTTTTTTTTTTTTTTTTTTTGACAGGCAGAGTGGACAGTGGGGGAGAGAGACAGAGAGAAAGGGCTTCCTTTTTCCATTGGTTCACTGCCCAAGTGGCCACTACAGCTGGTGCATTGCGGCCGATGCACCGCACTGATCCGATGGCAGGAGCCAGGTACTTCTCCTGGTCTCCCATGAGGTGCAGGGCCCAAGGACTTGGGCCATCCTCCACTGCACTCCCTGGCCACAGCAGAGAGCTGGCCTGGAAGAGGGGCAACCGGGACAGAATCCGGCGCCCTGACCGGGACTAGAACCCCGTGTGCCGGCACCGCAAGGCAGAGGATTAGCCTATTGAGCCACGGCGCCGGCCCCTCCCCTGTTTTAATTGATAATTTTTTAAAACAAATTGAGAGCCTCTGATACAACAGAAATCCTTTAAAAAATATATGAATCAATTGAAAATATATATGGAAAAAAGAGTTTGTGTTTGAAAAATATAGGCAAGACAGGTAGAAAAAAGACCATTTATTATGAACATACACATAAGCATAATTCTGTTTCTTTATATAACTGGTTTCCAAAATGTCTACAACAATGCCTTACCCACTAAGTATTGATTTCTGCAATAAATCTTTCAAAATATCAAAACAATTTTAATTGAGAGGCTAACAGCTCACATCTTGTATGACTACTTAGGCGAAATACAGCCCAATGTAAACAGTAAAACAGAACATAAGGAGAACCAATCAAAAACCTTACGAACCTCCAAGTAGGGACTTTACACCAGATCATACCCCAATAAGGCAGACCTAGTCGCTAAAGAAAATTTCTCGGGGCTGGCACTGTAGCAGAGTGGGTTAAAGCACTGGCATCCCATATGGGCGCCAGTTCTAGTCCTGCCTGCTCCTCTTCCAATCCAGCTCTCTGCTATGGCAGTAGAAGATGGCCCATGTCCTTGGGCCCCTGCACCCACGTGGGAGACCCGGAAGAAGCTCCTGGCTTCGGATCGGTGCAGCTCCAGCCGTTGCAGCCAACTGGGGAGTGAACCAGCAGATGGAAAACCTCTCTCTGTCTTCTGCCTCTTTCTCTAACTCTTTCGGGTAAATGAAATAAATCTTTAAAAAAAATTTCTCTGAATCTCTTATGATTACATGCTGCCAATTTGTGGATTACACTTTGCTCTTAAGCCCTGTTCAATTTCGTTTGACGTTTTCCTTTTAACACAGCATTAGGTTCTCCGTAAACTTTCACCACTTCTATTTCTTCTCCTAAGCAATGTATATCTGCTTTTTAAAATTTAATTTTAAATGCCCCTACTTCAAAATTAACCTGTTAGATTAAGAACTAGGAACTGTTTCTATCTCTACAACAGAAATGTTCTTTATACCACTAGATAGGAAGATAGAAAGTAGCCTCTGTGTGAGAGAGGGGGCTAAGGAGAGCAAAGCACCTGGACAGGAAGGCAGCAGCCTCTAGCAGCCTTGGAGCTCACCTGGCAAGCGGCCCAGCATTTTACACTGCGAAGTCCTGCCCTCACCCAGTACCACCGTAGATGGTTCTCCCCAAGGAAGACACCCCAGGAGGATCCTCTCTGCCCAGCGTCAAGGAGGGGGGCACACAGGCTGATAACACCTCGCAGTAAATCTTGGGAGGAATTTGACCAGTTTCACACCCAGCAAACCCTTTTGTCCAGAAGAGGGTGAGGGAAGGAAAACCAGCAGGAGAAGCGGACCCAATTCCCGTGTCTAAATGCGGATTGCACTCTGAGCCCTTTGTTGAGGTGCCCGCCTGGTTACCAGGTGTATGCTCAGCTCTCAGCCCGCAGTCTGGCTCAGAGATGCCCGCCGGGCCTGTCAGGTGTATTCGCTCCACTTTCCTCAGTCTGGATGGGCATGCCCAGATTCCTCCAGGAGAGGCGCCCATCGGTCCCCGCAGATGCCCTGCTGTATTAAACCTCGCTACCTGGCTTGTCGGTACTTTTTCTCACATCTGACAAGAACCTCGGTTCAGTCTCCTGAGCCTTCCACCCTCCCTGACCTACAGTTCCTGCCGCAGCCGTCAAAGCGCCGAACAGGCAGGTGGATTGCAGTATTACCTCCCAGCAGGTGTTCCGCTGAAGCTGCCAGAAGCCTCGCAACACTTTGAGTAGAGGCAACCTTTACCGGCAGGCCTATTTTTACCCCTCTTTTGCAGTGGCTCAAGCAGCGTGAGAATATGAAGGTGTGCAAAGCCCTCCTGCCTGCCCCGCCTTGGAGCGCGGATTCTGCGGGAAGCCAGGCGCGGGCTTACCAGGCTTCCCCGCTCCTGACACCCAGCGCGCAGCCAGAGGGGCGGAGCGGGGTGACGAGCTGGGCCGGCTGTCGGAGGCCCACGGGGCTCTGAATGCGAGTGAGACCCAGGAGGAGGGCGTCGGCGCCTCGGAGCCGGAGTTTCCCCAGTCGGAGGAACTGGCCCTGACGAGTAGGCCAAGTTGGTTTCGGCCCCCACACCCTAGCTTTTTAGGACTCGAGGGCCTCGAGGACCGGACCCAGAGGAGAGGGGGAGGCGCTGACCTCGAAGTCGGGGCGCTGGCGGATCGGGAGGCAGAGCGCGGGCTCCCGGCACGGGCAGTGGTTCCCGGCGGCGGGGACAGGCGTCAGCAGCGGCAGCAGCAGCAGCAGCGGCGGCGGCAGCGGCAGCGGCAGAGGCGGCCGGCGGGCGAGGAGGCGCCGGCCTCGGAGCTGCGGACCGGCCATGCCTGCAGATCGCCGCGCCACTGAAGTGGGCTCTTCCTGCCTGGCTCGGCTCGATTTGCCGCGTGGGCCGCGCGGGGCGGGGCGGGGCGGGCGTGGGAGGTGCGGACAGGGCCTGGCTGGGAGCCAGGACGGGGTCAAGGGCCGCCCGGGACGTGTCCCAGGAATGAGCCAGTGCTGGACGCCAAGCAGGCGTCCAACGGAAAACCCCTGTTCAACTGGTAGTTGGCTCTCCCTGGTGTTGGTAACCCGTCGGGTCTCTCTGGTGGCTTGTGTACTCATAATGGGAGACGGAGCCCCCAAAATGGGGAACCAAGGTGTCTTGGGAAAGCACGGCTGAACAAGATGTTTGGAGTGGCCAAGAGATTTTTAGCATCCGGATATCTTGTCCTTTTTGAATTAAGATGGCTGTTTGAATACAAGCCTCCAATTCCCCTTCCTCCCATACTTATTATTTATTTATTCGAAAGATAAAGGAACAGAGTGAGCTTATGTCCATTGACTCAAATCCTAAGTACTCCCAATAGCCAGGGCTGGGCTAGGCTGAAACCAGGAGCCGGGAACTCCATAGGTATGGCAGGAACGCAACCCCTTGAGCCATCGCCTGCTGCCTCCCAGGGTCATATTGTCAGCAAGCAGAGTAGTTAAGACGCATTCCCAAAGCCAGAAGTCGACCTGTCCTATATTTAAACTCCAGTAAAAAGACAAAGACAGGGGAGGAAGCGCTGTGGTGTAGAGGATAAACCCGCACCTGCAGTGCTGCGTCCCACACAGACGTCGGTTCGAGTGCTGGCTGTTCCACTGTCAATCCAGCTCTCTGCTGTGGCCTGGGAAAGCAGTGGAAGATGGCCCAAGCCCTTGGGCCCCTGCACCCACGTGGGAGACCTGGAAGAAGCTCCTGGCTCCTGGCTTCAGATTGGCTCCATTCTGGCCCTTGCGACCATTTGTGGAGTAAACTAGCAAATGGAAGATCTCTCTCTCCCTCTCTCTCTCTCTCTAATAAATCTTAATAAAAATGAATAACTTAAACATTATATTCCATAGTACAGAAGAAAACTCAGGTCTATCTGTGTTGGCCCTTAAGATCATCCCCAAATTTAGTGATACATTAGAGGAACACATAGCACTCAGCTGTATGCATGCTCACAGCTAAGATCTGTCACAACAGAAAAACACAAAGCAAAGTCAGTACAGGGGAAAGTGTGAAACCAAGTGTGAACCAAGCACAAGCTTCCAAGAGTTCACTCCCCTTGGAGAGGCACAGAAGAAATCTGTGCCTCCCAGGGGTCTTCAAAATGTTCACGAAAAATGCATGCTATCCTCAGACTTCAAATGTCTTTTGCACATTGCCACCTCCTTTTATTTTTGCACATTTGAAGGATTAACTACAAGAGAGCAAAAAACCATCCTGTAACATCCTCTTAGGTTGCTGGATGCAAGTGCTTCAACTGAAGCTGTTTGGATCCAGTTGTACACACGTTGAGGAAGGTCTGACTGCAAGGTGCCTGAGCTGTACCCTTATCCCGAGTCTCCACTTTTACATGCATACATTCTCAGAGGTCTTCAGATTCATTTTTGAAAATTTGCCTAAAGTCTCTACATGTACAAATGCTCCCCTCACTAAGTGTACTGGGAAAAAATGTACTTTGAAAGGCTGAAAAACATAGATCCTATTTAACCCATACTTACACACCACGAAGACCAAATAATAAGCCAGGACAAATATTTGACAACCAATGTCAACTACAGGTCACTAAAAACACTTGGAAATCAATAAGAAGATAAATGTCACGAAAGAAAAATAGGTGACAGATATAATATGCAAATCAGAAAAGAACAGAATAAATAGGGAAAAACATTCAACCTTATTACAAATCGAAGACATGCAAATAAAGATAGGCTATGGCCTGTGTAGTGGCTTAGTGGGTTAAGCTGCCACCTGCAGCATTGACATCCAATATGGGTACCAGTTCCAGTCCCAACTGCTCCACTTCTGATGTTACTCCCTGCTAATGTGCCTGGGAAAGCAGCAGACGGATGGCCCAAGTATTTGGGCCCATGTACCTACATGGACGACCCAGAAGAAGCTCCTGGCTCCTGGCTTTGGATTGGCGCATAGAGTTCCAGGCCTCTGGTTTTGGCTTGGCCCAGACCCAGCTGTTGCAGCCATTTGAGGAGTGAACCAATGGATGGTAGATCTTTATCTCTCCCTGACTCTCTCTCTCTAACTCTGCCTTTCAAATAAATAAATAATTTTTTTAAAAAGATAAGGTAGCATTTCTTTTGCATTTTATGTAGACCAATAAAGATACTGACAAACATTAAATGCTAATAAAACTCATTGCAGCTGTAGATAAAAATAACACCACATACTTTTTTGGTATTAGTATAAATTGGTATAATTTTTCTGGAAATCACTATTTCAGTTTAAAATTTCATGCTTTTTGACCTTCCCCCTCCAATTTTTTTTGTCTAAATACCTGTGCTAAGTAGATAATTACAGAAACATGGAGACATACATGGCATGCTCGTTCAACATTAGCTGTAGTTGCAAATATTGGGAACAATCTCGATGTCCATCAGTTGGTAATTAGGTAAGAAAATATTCTGTTTATTTTTTATAATAAACATAATTTTTTAAAATAATACAATTCTTTCCTTTTTCTTTATTTATCTGAAAGAGTATAGAGAGGAAGAGACAGATCTTTTTGTAAAATATTTATTTATTTGAAAGAGTTAGAGAGAGGAAGAGGAGAGAGAGAGAGAGAGAGAGATTCTACCTACTGGTTCACTCCCCAAATGGTTGCAATGGCCAGGGCTGGGCCAGGCTGAAGCCTAGAACCAGGTCTCCCATGTGGGTGCAAGAACTCAAGCCCTTGGGCCATCTTCCACCACTTTCCCAGGCACATTAGCAGGGAGCTGGGTTGGAAGTGGAGCAGCCAGGACTTGAACTGGTGCCCATATGGGATGTTGGCACTGCAGATGATGGCTTAAACCTGTGTGCCACAGCATCAGCCCCAAAGCAATTGTTTTCTAAGAAGTTCTTTCAGAGTTGCACCAAAAATAATCTTTTCATCCTATTTTCTACAAACTGTTTGAAATACCCTCTAATGCTCATATGTTTGCTTTTGACTCCTCACCCTTTTATTCTGAATCTCTCAGCATCTCAGAATAAGATTTAAAGAACTGTGACTGTCTGTTAATTAAGTACTTTAACTACTGAATTCAACTTGTGAATCTACCTCCTTCTGGATATGAACAGAGCAAAATATCTAGCCTTGCCTTGAACTGTTTCCTATAATGAAAACCCCTACAAGGACACATACTGTCCAGAGCTGTCTGGAGCTTGCAATTAGAAAAGTGTCACACAGCCCCAAGTGTATTTTTACATTTTCTATAGAGTCTTTAATTGTATAAGCAATGAATAAAACCACCTTGAAAATAAGTTGCTTCTGAAACCTATAAGTAGTCTAGTTACCAGTAGTTAAATAAAAAGTGCGTTCAGATGTTGAGAATGCCACTAACTTGCTCCGATTGTTCACGTGGTCTGTTGTAATCATCTTGTTTCCTTTCCCTTCTCTAATCTGTACAGCAATTTGAAGCTTTGCAGACTTCAGTCTGGAAAAGAATCACCTGCAAAGCTTCTTGAACTGCAAAATCCTGGGAGATTCTCTTTTGCTAGGTCTAAATGGCACAGGAGCATGAATATGAAGAGCCCCTGGCAACCGTGATGCAGGTGGGCTGTGGCATTTAATTTTTAAGACTTATTTATTTATTTAAAAGTCAGAGTTACACAGAAAGCAAGAAACAGAGAGAAATATTCCATGTGCTAGTTCACTCCTCAGATGGCTATAAAAGCCAGGGCTGGGCCAGGCAGAAGCCAGGAGTTTCATCCTGGTCTCCCATGTGGGTGCAGGGACCCAAGCACTTGGGCCATCCTCCGCTGCTTTCCCAGGCCATTAGCAGGGAGCTGGGTCTGAAACAGAGCAGCTGGGACTTGAACTGGTGTCCATATGGAATGCCAACATCACAGGCTTTACCTGCTAAGCCACAACGCCAGCACTTTGACATATAATTTCAAAGATTCTACCATAATAAGTGTTTTCATGATTTTCCTTAAGTACAGGGCTTTTTGTTTTGTTTTGTTTGCCATTTCACCACTTTTGTAAAACCTTTCCCTATTTAGTTACAGTGGTGTTTCCCAACCATTCGGGAGCTCACAGGAGGATCTATAAAAAGCTATGTACCCTCTCTCCTGAAAAGTACATATACATATTCATGTAAATCTTGTGAGCAATACTATCCATGGGCTGCTGGGGTACCTGATCCTAGATAGAGAACTAAGAAGTGGTTATTCACATGTACATTCCTCCAGTGGCATTCACAACATTTCTGTTACTGACAAAATTCACTCATGCCCATTTCTCTGAAACTTGCTAAGCTCTGCTCCTTCTCATTTTTACCAGTTGGCATCTCATCATCTCACACTGTTAACTCTACATGTAAAAGTATCACATTTCCCTGAAATGAAAATCAGGATCCCAAAGGAGTCATGACACTTGATAGAAATGACAGAAAACTCAAAACGCAAAATTCTAGGTAGGTGAAAGTTGCCATAGTTATTTTTCTTACTTTAGCTTTTTTGTTTTGTTTCACATTTTATTATTTATTTAGTTTTAGTGGAACTTGACAAACTGATTCTAAAATTTACAGAAAAATACAATAGCCCTGATACTAAAGAACAAACAGAAAATTTATTCTACAGTATTTTAAAATTTTAAAAGATTAAGTGATTAATTTCACCCTCTAGTGGTGCTAGGGCAGACAGATTCACAATTTAGAACAAGAAATTTATGTATATAAAGAAATTTGGTTAATGACAAAGGAAGTTCTGGTGAATATAACTAATAATGGGATGTTGCAGTTGATTTCTCAACAATGTTGCAGTAGATTCGTTTCTGAGAGGAGGAGCGTGGTGGGGGTAAGAGACGGGAAGTCACCACACAGACCCCAGGAGTCGGGTGAAAGCCGGCCTGAGGCAAGCAGCCCACAGACTCGTTTATTTCAGTTAGTACAACAGCTTATATAGCCAAGACCAGCCAATCTGGTCAAGGGGCAGCCTATGCCCCAATCAATCACAACCTGTTGCTAGGCAGTTTCCAAAGCCATACAATCATAGCCTATTGCCAGGCAGGCTCCATTTGCCATGTGGGTTTCAAAGCCATCCAATCACAGCCTGTTGCCAAGCAGTTTCCGTTGCCAGGTGGGATTCAAAGCCATTCCTGAGTAACTGACGCTCACTTGCCAGTGGCCATCTTGGCATGGCCTTCTCATTCCACCACAATGGACAATTGTATATCAGTATGGGGAAAAAATGACACTTGATTTCCATCTCACACCATACAAAAACATCAAATCCAGTTTGTATAGCTAAATGTATAAGGCAAAATAACGGAGTTGTTAAACAATAGAAGAGAATATTTTCCTAACCTCTGGAGAAAGAATAATTCCTTAAATGGAACACAAAAGGTATGAACTAAAAAGGGGGAAAACAGCAACACATTTGGCTACTTAGTATTTAAGAACTTCTGCTTATCATAAAACAAAACTGAGAGTGTAAAAACTACAGCAGATAGTGGAAGAAGACAGTTGCAAAACATAATTAGCAATGCATTTGTAGCAAGAGCATACAATGAACTCACAAAATTTCAAAAAAAAAAAAAAGGCAAATAAGCTACAAAAAAAGAAGCAGGAAACCAGAACAGGCATTTTACAAAAGAGGATATTAAATTATCAACACATTTGGGGAAGATGCTAAGTCTTCTTGGTAACCGGGGAGATACAGACCAAAATTGTAATGGGACACTGCTGTATATCCATTGAAATAGCTAAAATTAGAAAGACTGATACTAGCAGGTGTTGACCAGGAGGAAACACAAAGGAAACTTCCATATGTGACTAATGTTACAGAGTAAAGTAGTGCAATCATTTTGGAAAACAGTACGACATTAGCTACTAAAGTTTAAGATACACATCCTCTATGAACCAGTAATTCTGCCCTACAGGAATGAATGAATATGTATGCTACTGTAGAAACAGAGTCTCCCATTTAAAGTCAGTATTCATTTACTATAAAAACAATTTGTAAATTAGGAAGAGAAGGAATGACAGAAAAAATGTTAATTTATAATGCTGTCTCCCAATTGATCTATAGATTTATAGCAATTTCATTCATAATTCCATCAGGAACACAAGGAACCTAACAAGCTTTTCTAAGTGCATGTAGAATAACTAAAAGAAAACCCACCATGCACAGTTAGAACCCATATTATTGGTATAAATTGGGACCACCACTTTGGAAAATGAGTTGTCATTAACTTATCAGTTCACACATCCTGGACTCAGCAAGTGCACTTCTAGACTAGAGAACTTTTGGCACAGCTGTTCTTAGCAGATGTAGAAGAGTATGTTCATGAATGGAGGAGAGGGTCAGATGGTACAGGAGGCTCATTTCCTCTGCTTTTATTGGTGTGGGAGAGAGCTGGCCCAGCAGATCTGAATTGAGTCTGCTGCTCTCATTTGCTGATTTCTGGAGGTTTCCCCTTTTTAGCAAAGCTCCTTTGATATAGACCCCAAAGTTTCTGTTCCTAAATCATTATATAATGTCCCTGCTTCCTGTTTTTGAATATACACCACACAGAGTAGCAGTTCCCATTCTACTTGAATTTTGGCCGTGGTATATGCAAGTCATTTCTGGTCAACCTAAACTGTGGTTGAATGTAATGAGCGTTTAGAAAAACGTGTGTGCTCTACTAAATCTCTAATTGTAAACTTTCTCCCTAATAAATCCTATTTCAAGTCTACACTATTTGGCCCTAGGGGTGTGCATCAAAACCCTTTACCTGACAGAACCATTGTATGTGTTAGCAAAAAAACCAAATGCCCATCAATATAAGCAAAGATGCAATGTGCTTTATCCCTACAGTGGGATCCTGTGCAACAATGAAAAGGAATAAGCCAAAGCCATGGGCATTAATATGAATGAATCTTAGAACCATGACTGGAAAAAAAAAAACAAATTGTAGAAGAACATAAGCCATGATACCATTTTTATAGAGTTCCAAACTTTCTGCAAGTAACAGATACTTACATATGGATAAAACCATAAAGGAAAGCAAGGGGATGACAGGCAAAGATGATAGTGATTTCTGGGTGAGGGTTGAGGGTTCAGGTAATGGGATCCACAGCAAGCAGAACATGGAGGAACTTAAAGCTATGGATAATATTCATCTTAATAAAGCTGGGTATTCAGTTTATGGCATTTTCTCCATTGTTGTCTGTCATAACTTAAAGCTATATTATACTTTTGCATGTGTTAAACACTTGGTAACTATTAAATATGAAAAAGAAGGGCCAGCACTGTGGCATGGTGGTTAAAGCCACCACCTGTGATACCAGCATCCCATGTGGGTGCCAATTCAAGTCCTGGCTGCTCCACTTCCAACCCAGCTCCCTGCTAATGTGCCTGGGAAAGCAGTGGAAGATGTCCTAAGTACCTGAGCCCCTGCACCCATGTGGGAGACCCAGAAAAAACTCCTGGGTCCTGGGTTTGGCCTGGCCCATCCCTGGCCATTGTGGCCATCTTGGGAATGAACCAGTGGGTGCTAGATATTCTCCTTCTCTCTCTCTCTTTCTCTCTCTAACTCTGTCTTTCAAATAAATAAAATAAATCATATTTTAGAAAATTAAAAATAAATAAACATGAAAAAGAGAGTGACTTAGTTTGTTCCTTCAGCCGGTGAATCAGGCAGCCTCCTAACCTGTGATGAAATTCTCCTGGGTGGAGGTATTCATAAATTTGAGCACGAGGAAAGTGGTGGGGAAGGCCCTGTGGCCTGTGCGCACACAGCTTCCTCTGCCTGTTCCCATCAGCATATGGGAATTACAATTAAACAATTAAAATGCTAATACCCTGATTCCTCCAGTGAGCAGAGGAGTGCAGGGTAGGGGTGCTACTGACAAGCACGTGGAGCAGTCTTGTCAGGGTGGGCATGCGTGATTCAAATTGTGACAGAAGCAGGGCTGGGCAGCAGCGGGCCAGATCTGAGAGCAGAGGGAGAACCTACAAAGTCCCAAAGCCATTCAGTGCTTACTGAATTCAAGTCCTCAGTGCTTGTGACATCAAGACCTTTTTTTTTTTTATTTTTAAAGATTTGTTTTCATTTTATATGAAAGGCAGAGTTACAGAGAGAGAAATAGACAGACAGAGAGAATCTTCCATCTATTGGTTCACTCCCCAAATAGTCACAAAGGCCAGAATCGGGCTGATGCGAAGTCAGCCAAGAGTCAGGAGCTTCATCGGGGTTTCCCAAGTGGGTTCTGAGGCTCAAACTCTTGGGTCATCTGTGGCTGCTTTCCCAGACACATTAGCAGAAGTGGAGCAGCTGGGACTTGAACCAGAGCCCATATGAGATGTTGGCACAGTAGACAGCGGCTTTACCCACTACGCCACAGTACCAGCCCAGACATCAAGACCCTCCTGGCCTCCACGCATAGGTGATAGGTGACACCAGTTCTACAGCCCAAGATAGAACTAAAATGAGAATTATGAAGCCTAGCTTCTGGGATAGATGGCCAGGGAGCTAGGAGAACCAGGTGGCCTTTGCACCTGTCATTTATCTGCCCATCTCAGGAGCCTATTGGGATGCCAAAGTGATCTATAGCCATGAGCTCAGTACCTCCACCAAGCTCATCATAAACCAAGTGCTTGATAAGTGCTTACTGTTTGTAAAATTTAAAGAACTCACATTTTCTTTTAAAAATTCAACATTTATTGGATTGACACACATAAGGGAATTTTTTTTTTCGAGTCTCAAAACAAGATGTTAGAAAAACCATAAAATAGATGGGACAATATTATTTTCATACTACCAACTATCTAGATAAGTATGTTTTGTGATTTCCCAGGAAAAAATTAATTTGAATAAAGATAAAATAAATGTAGTCCTATGGACTTAGATGAAGTCTGACTTTATTGTAGGCCACTGCCTTTTCCTCCAGGAACACGATGTGTGAGCATAAACAGTTTCTATCAAATACTCAGATGTGTGTTCTGGATTATTCTGCTCTTCAACACCAGTGGCTCTTAGAAGAAAATAACATTTTCATTATTTGTGTCTTTGGGAATTCTTCTGTTTAAACATCAGTAGGAATAAACATTATCTTCATGGCTATAAAGGAAATTAAACACCATAGACCTCATAAAATAATAACAATTAAAATGCTAATCACAGCATATGAGTTTAAATTTATTTCAAACCCCCAAACACCAATAAAAATTTAAATGATGTAAATTCCTTTCCCAGAACCAAAATATTATCAGAATAAAGATCTCATTCCAGCTGTCTCAGAAGATCACACACGTCTGCTTTTTGTAGATTTGAAAAGCTTACCGTGAAATACCATTTCTGATAGGAAACCACATTTATTTCCCCATCTTTTTTTTTTTTTTTTTTTTTTTTTGACAGGCAGAGTGGACAGTGAGAGAGAGGGAGAGACAGAAAGAAAGGTCTTCCTTTTCCATTGGTTCACCCCTCAAT